GCAAGGAATAATGCTAACAAGAACACGGTAACCTCTCAAGGACAGGTTAGAGGTTCAGCCTTTTCAAATCCTGCCCACCTAGATTGCGTACACCCAATAGCAGCATTACATATATTATACAGCATGCCCCAGGAGTAACAGAGCTTAGCCTGGGATGCTAGTACATAGCTTCAAAGAAGGCTCTCAGTAAGAGGATGGCTTCTTTCAATTGAAGGTCGTATCACCAATTGCACCCTTTCCAAGAAGGGCTTGAGGACATCTGCTCCCACTACCGCTACCCTTGCAACACAGCATTCACTGCCTTCCTCACAGTCAGCCTGCTTCAGACGGGAAACAAAATAATCTGTAGTGAAAGACAATATCTGGTAGAGAAATCTATTATTTTAGCTCAAGGGCAACATTGCCAAAACCTGCTCCTGCTCTCAGTACCCCCTTACTCATCATCAGAATCTGTTCTCTGGTGTAAACGAGACACAAAAAAATGGAAAATGGAAAGAGGAAGTGAAAAGAATTTATTCAGGAGCTGCCACCACTGCACAAGTCAGAGAGGTGAAGAAATAAAACAAAGAAGGGCAGTTAGACCAGATGAGACTAGGTCACAGTTAAGAAGTTCAGAAGGGGCCCAGACCCAAAACCAAAGAGCAGCAGAAGACTTCTTTGGGGTGATAAGAGGCAAGGAAACAAAACTTGCAATTCACATCAGTAGTAGTTGCTAGTGTAGGGCAAGAGATCTCTATAAATCAAATCTCAGCACCCATTCTACAGGACCATGATACTCGTAATGCAGCACAATTCAATGGCTAGATAAAACAGCTGCGTTTTTGCTATCATCTTTACACTGACACCATACATCTGAATATAAATATGTATCAGCACTGAAACTTGTTTTGATCATCCACGTGGCACATCTTTACAGCAATAAAAATAATTTATTTCCCCTCATGATCGTTTTATGATGAATCACATATTAAGAGACATACCAGGAAAAAGAGCTTTCCTTCAATCTAAACTAAAAACCCTTTCAAAGCAGTCTTCCTGTGGGTCTTCCCACATAGCCTTCCTGATGTTGGAATAACAATGACTACTCAGCAACTGAAACAAGCCGCCAACTTAGTTTGAGGTATAAATTTTACCCAAACAGATTTTGAGGCTAGTTGTGACATTTATTCTTCAAATATTTCTTAAATGCTACGAAATTCCTTCTGTTGACAAATGCTTATCATACTTTCATTCAATAGAAAGACATTAATATTTAGTTACCTGCACTGTGCTCCTCTCAGGGTTGAGAAACACCGTTTGTAACTTCACCAACTCACTGGGAATCAACAGCCACATAAGTGCAACTGTACAGAGGTTACTGTGGGCCTGCCTGGGCCGGTGACTAATCAGTCAGGTGGCTGAATAGTACTATGCAGCCACTGGAAACTGGTTTTTGGCAACAAAGCCAGTTAGCTTCCAGCTGGCTCAGCTGCCTCCAAACAAACCAGCAATGCCTCTGTTTGCAGCATAGGCAAGATAATAATTCTAGTGGCAAAATTTAATTTTAAAGAGTCTACTTTCCTGCTCTCCTCGCTTAGCTTGCGAGCTGTCAGATAGAGAATACTCAGCTCCTCCACCATTAAGCCAATGCCTCCACTAATGCTCGCCCTGCTAAAACACCCCTTCCACAGAGGCAGCCGCGCTCGGAAAAAACGGGGTAGCCGGTGCTATTTAGCTCTAACAGCTAAACAGCCTCACGGTTATAAGGGCAATTTTTTTTTTTTTTAGTCGAATCTGTTTGGTTTTCACTTCGTGAATCCTCTGCACCTATTCAAGAGCCCTTCGACAATGCTGTACCTCCCCCCTCCCCCCAAGCAAGTACCGTCCGTCTTCGCGGGGGGCTGATTAAATATTCAGCCTGTC